CCAGGGCGGGGCATCGTGAACAGCGACGCCTCCCTCGCGAAGAAGTCGGCGGGCCTTCTGGCGGCTGCGGGGCACGGGCCCTGGGCCCTCCTCCTCCTCCCTGCGCCCTTTGCCCTCCGCCCTCCTCCTCCTCTTCCTCCTTCTCCGCCATCCTCCTCCTCCTTCTCCTCTTCTTCTGCTTCTTGTTATTATTGATAGTATCAGTAGTATCCGCAATAGTATGTTTAGTGGTATTCTTATTATGATTAGTAACATTAGTAGCCTTAGTAATAAACATCAGACGAGTACGATTATTGCTACTAGTATGCCTAGCCTTCTTAGCATTCCCCTTAGTAGTATTCACAATAATTTGATTATTATTATTATTATTATCACCATCATGTTTAGCATTAGTATTATTAGTATCGTCATTCGTTGTCTGATTATTCTTATTGCTAGTATTGTGAGTATGCTTCTGCTCATGCGTCTTATTCGTCCCCTTCTTCTTCTGAGTATTAGTATTCCCCTTCTTCCTCTTCCTCTTCCTCCTCCTCCTCCACCTCCCTCATGCTTCGCCCTCCTCCATCCTACGTCCTGTTCTTCCTCCCTCATCCACCCTCCATCCTCACCCTTCTGGTCCTGCTCCTGGTCCCTTCGCTCCCCCTGCTCTCCACCAATCCTTCCAGCTGGGCAGCTAAGCGCAGGTCGGCTGCCAGGTCTCGGTCTGCGTACTGCAGGCCAGGCGGCTCCCCCCAAAGCGTCGATGGCGACGAGCGTGGACGCGCCATCGTCACGGCAATCGTCACCATCATCATCATCATCATCATCATCATCATCATCATCATCATCAGCAGCAGCAGCAGCAGCAGCATCATCATCATCATCATCATCATCATCATCATCAGCAGCAGCAGCATCATCATTATCAGCATCATCGGCATAATGATCATCAGCAGCAGCAACACAATCATGAGCATCGTCATCAGCATCGTCATCAGCATTATCATCATATGCATCATCATCAGCGGCATCATCATCAGCATCAGCACCAATCATAATCATCATCATCATCATCATCATCATCATCATCATCATCATCATCATCATCATCATCATCATCATCATCATCATCATCATCATCTTCATCAGAATCGTCAGCGACACCCTCATCATCATCATCATCATCATCGTCACCATCATCGTCATCAGCAGCAGCATCATCATAATCATCGCATCAACATCATCATCAGCACCAGCATCATCAGACTCGGCATCTGCCTAACGCTCATCATCACCAGTATCACTAATAATAAGAGTATACCGCCATCCTCATCATACCCTTATCGTTGTCAGCAACAGCATCAGCATCATCATCATCATCATCAGCATCAGCATCATAAGTCATCACCGTCGTTGTCATAATCCTCATCATCAGCCGCAGCGGCAGCGTCAGCGTCGGCAACAGCATCAACATCGGCAGAACCAGCATCGGCAATTCCAGCATCAAGATTCGCATAAACAACAGCAGTATCATCATCGTCATCGTCGTCGTCATCAGTATCCTCATCAGCATCAACATCATCATCATCAGCAGCATCATCATCACGAACACAGCTACCATCATCGTCAGCAGCATCAACCATCATCGTCGTACTCGTCATCATGATCAAAATCAGCAGCAGACGCAGCGTCAGCGTTGACAACAGAATCAACATCAGCAGAAGCAGCATCAGCAATTTCAGTATCAGCATCAGCACCAACATCAGCACGACCATCGTCATCATCTTCGTCATCAGCACCAGCAGCACCACCATCATCATCTTCAGTATCATGTTTTTCTTCATCATCAGCATCATCAACATCAGCAACATCATCGTCATCAGCATCATCATATTCAGTATAAGTTTCAGCATCGCCGTCATCACCGACATCATCCCTTCACCTAATGAGCAGCATCGCCATAATAACCAGTAACATCACAATAATCAGCATCAATATCATCATCGTAAGCAGCGCCGTCATCGTCATCAACATCATCATCATCATCATCATCATCATCATCATCATCATCAGCATCATCATCATCATCATCAGCATCATCATCATCGTCGTCGTCGTCATCGGCATCATCACCATTAACATCGGCATCGCCAGACGCATCAGCACCACCGCCATCAGAATCGCCATCATCATCATCAGGACCGCCACCATTATCCTCGTCATTATCCTCAACGATATCATACTCATCAGGAGCAGCACCATCATCGTCGTCAACGCAAACATCAGCATCATTCCACCAGACGCATCACCAGCATCGAAATCATGTTAATCAGTTGCCGCAGCATCTACATTAGCATCAGCAACATCAACATCATCACCATCAACATCGGGATCGTCATCATCGTCATCAGCATTATCATCAGCATCATCATGCATATCCTCACCATCATCATGATCATGAGCATCATCCTCATCACTCATCCTCACCCTTCATCATCCATCGTCCTCCTCCGACTCCGCCCTCTGCTACCCTACTCCCCCAGCAACTGCAACCCACCAGACGGCATCAGCATCAGAACTATCATCGTCATCGCGCCCATCCACAATATCGGTATCTCCACCGCCGTCATCACAAGTATCTTCCTTATGGTCATCGTCATTGGCATCATCAGCAGCATCATCATCGTCATCGTCGTCGTTGTCGTCGTCAACAGCAGCAGCAGCAACAACATCATCATCACCATCATCATCATGGTCATCACCCCCCTCATTCGCCTCAACATCACCATCACCATGGCCATCATCATCTTCGATGTATCCACACTCCCATCCGCATGTCTGGTCGTAAACGTGACTTGTCCAGAACCAACCTGAACCGGAAGAGAGGGCGGCGTCGAGCATGACATCGACGCCGTCGGAACTCGACCGGGGCATGGAGGCCAGCGACTTGGCAGAAGCAGGATCAGCAGCAAGAGAAGAAGGGAAGAGAAGAAGGGAAGACGAGGAGGAAGAAGAAACAGCAGCCAAACAAAAAGAGGGCAAGGAGACGGGAGAGGGAGGGACGAAGAACGCGGCGGATCTCGGAGCTCAGCGATCCGTTGCCGAAGGGCCCCTGGATCCAGAAGGGCACGCTGGAGAGGGAGAGAGATGAGGAGGAGGAATCGCAACTGGTGCAGCGGTCGCTTCGATCAACGTCGGCGTGACGCAGAAGAGGAGGCATCGCGGCTCGGCGGACCGGCTCTTCGGGCCCAAGGGGGCTGCAGAGGCGAAACGTGAGGAGGAGGAAGAGGAGGAAGAGGAGCTTACCCACAACGCCGGCGACCCGTTGGAGCGGTGCTCCGGGGGTTACCTGGCATTAGTTTGACCAACCCCCCTCAGGGCCAACCAGCCCCAGAGGGGGGGGAGGCTTCGTCAGACAACTATGCAGCCATCAGTTGCCAGGTGTCCAGAGGAGGAGGAGGAGGAGGAGGAGGAGGACACGTCGAACAGGGAGGACGCCATCGGGACTCAACGGGCTCAGAGCCCGACGGCCCGGCAGGGACAGGCAAGCGGAGAGCAGGGAGGGGGGGGGTCTGGCACGTGGCATGCGGCCAAGTCTCACCGGGGCCGATGCCCATGCGAGGGTAGAGGCAAGTTCCACGAATACCTTCCCGTTGCCTTTGGCGTGGCTGGGATGCTGGCAACGGGTGAAGCGCTTCCGGTTTGGCTCGTGTGGGCGCTCCCAAACTTGTACTTACACTTCGAGAGAGAGAGAGAGGGAGAGAGGAGAAGGAGGAGGAGGAGGAGGAGGAGGAAGGAGGAAGGAGGAGGACGCCATGGAGACTCGACGGGCTCGTGGAGTTCATTGGTCAGGCAGAGAGAGGAGAAGGAGAAGAAGGAGGAAGAGGAGGATAAGGAGAGGAGGAGGAGGAGGAGGAGGAGGAGATTGCCGAGGCCGAGGCGTTGCTGGAGGTTGGGGGAGGCGTGAGGCGCGAGGGGGCACGGGCACCGCACTGGAGGGGCCCGCCTCACGCCCGCCACGCTCGTCAGGCTCACCCCAAACTTGCTGGCAAACTTGATGCAGAGCTCCTGCAAGCCAGCAGGAGGGAGGGAGCATTCGCGGCGGCAGGAGGAGGAGGAGGAGGAGGAGGAGGAGGAGGAGGAGGGAGGAGGAGGAGGAGGAGGAGGAGGAGGAGGAGGAGGAGGAGGAGGGAGGAGGAGGAGGAGGAGGGAGGAGGAGGAGGAGGAGGAGGAGGAGGAGGAGGAGGAGAGAAGGAGAGGCGGAGAGGAGAGGACAGAGGGGGGAAGGAGGAGACCCAGACCAGCTGGAGGTGCCACCACATCGAGCATGCATTTAATAAGGGGCACCAACAAAAATAACCATCATCTGAGATGTCAGCCTTATCGCGCTTTCTCCTGTCAAGGGTCCGCCGCCCAAGCGATCCAGTCTGGGCGCGAGAAGAGAACAATTCGAAAAGCGCAAGGCCCCGGAAGAGGTCGACACCGACCCGCTCGTCAGCAGGGTCGGGTCCAAGCACGGGCACAACTCCGAGGCCTAGCGTCGAGGCCAGGAAGGTGCGAGAAGCGAGAATCGTCGGAGAGCGAGCCCACCACTCCGACTCGACACCCCTGCCGGGACGGGTGCGTGTCAAGCAAGATCCAAATAAACTGCCTCTCGCGGCCAAGGGAATGACCCATTGGGCAGATGCCCACGTAAACGTGACGCTCCTCCTTTGTGCAGGCGCCTCCGACCTAGAGGCTCTACGCGCCTTCGCAGCCAGAGAGGAAGAGGAAACAGGGAGGAAGGAGGGAGGAAGGAAGGGAAAGGAGGGACGGCGAGAGGGAGAAAGGAGGACGCAAGGAGGAAGAAAGGAGGAAGGAGGGGAAGAAGATCACGAGAAGAAAGGGGAAGAGAAGGGAGGGAGAAATATGGAGGAGGAGGGAGGACGGAGGAGCGAGGGGGAGAGGGAAGTGAGGAAGGAGGAGGGAGAGGAGAAGATGGTTTTGCCGAAGCCGATGGCTCCCAGAAGTTCCTGGGGCGCTTCTGATATTTCCTGAAATGCTTTGAGACTCTGACGCTTCCAAAGATCTCGAGATCCCACCACCCTCCGTCTCCCCATCCCTCCTTCCCCCACTCACTCAATCCCTCCAACTCCTCCTCTTCCTCCACCTCATCCTCCTCCTACCATCCATCCAGAAACATCTGCACATGTCATACGATGTTATCAAATTTCGGGAAAACTAAAGTAACTCGAACATTATCCAGAAACGATCGAACGCCTCCAAAAGACTTCGAGCACCTCCTCCTCAACCTCCTCCTCCTCCTCCACCTCCTCCTCCTCCTCCTCCTCCTCCTCCTCCTCCTCCTCCTCCTCCTCCTCCTCCTCCTCCCCCCTCGGGACAGATCGGAACGAGTCCACGGCCCTTGCATGCTCAGACGGGACGGGGTGGCACGACACGTCATCCGTGGCGTACACACGCTGCGCGTGCTGAACCTTCCTCGGACCTGGCCTCCGCAGGCACTGGTGATGTAGCGTCCTCTTCTTCTGCCCCCTCTTCTGCACCCACGCCTCAGTCCGCCCCACACGTCCATCTGCATGTCTGGGAGACATCTGGCACAAAGCATATAACAGTGCGTCCGTCTGGCAGCCACAGCCACGACTTCCTCCCTCCTCCTCCTCCTCCTCCTCTCCTCCTCCTCCTCCTCCTCCCTCTCCTCCCCTCCTCTCCTCCTCCTCCGCCTCCTCCGCCTCCGCCTCCGCCTCCGCCTCCGCCCGCCTCCGCCTCCGCCTCGCCTCCGCCTCGCTCCTCCTCCTCCTCCTCCTCCTCCTCCTCCTCCTCCTCCTCCTCCTCCTCCTCCTCCTCCTCCTCCTCCTCCTCCTCCTCCTCCTCCTCCTCCTCCTCTCCTCCTCCCTCCTCCTCCGCCTCCGCCCCCGCCTCCGCCTCCGCCTCCGCCCCGCCTCCGCCTCCGCCTCCGCCTCCGCCTCCGCCTCCGCCTCCGCCTCCGCCTCGCCTCCGCCGCCTCCTCTCCTCCTCCTCCTCCTCCTCCTCACCTCCCTCCCTCCTCCTCCCTCCCTCCCTCCCTCCCCCTCCCCCTCTCCCTCCCTCCCTCCCCCCTCCCTCCTCCCTCCCTCCTCCTCCCTCCTCCTCCCTCCTCCTCCCTCCTCCTCCCTCCTCCCTCCCTCCCCTCCTCCTCCTCCTCCTCCTCCTCCTCCTCTCTCCTCCTCCTCCTCCTCCTCCTCCTCCTCCTCCTCCCTCCTCCTCCTCCTCCTCCTCCTCCTCCTCCTCCTCCTCCTCCTCCTCCTCTCCTCCCTCCTCCTCCTCCTCCTCTCCTCCTCCTCCTCCTCTTCCTATTCCGTTTCCTCCTCCTCCTCGTTGCACGTTGCACGCCGGGCCCGCTCCTTGATCTCCATGCTGCCCGTGGGGGTGCTCCTCAGCAGCTGCTCCGCCTCGCGGAGGGGGGGGAGTATGAGCAAGGGGGGGGGGGCTGGATGCCCACGCCCCAGAAAAGGGGCAGAGGGGGGGGGAGCGGTCCTGGAGGGAAAAGAGGGCGCGACAAGGCAAAATCAGGGGGGAGGAGGAGCAGGAGCAAGAGCAGGAGCAGGAGGAGGAGGAGGAGGAGAAGGAAGGGGAGGAGGAGGAGGAGGAGGAGGAGGAGGAGGAGAAGGAGGAGGAGGATTTTTTTTGCATCATCAATGCCAGAGAAGCTCAAGACCCTCCACCACTGCACATGTGGAGGGAAATGCGCTGAGGGGCACGACCCTTGTACGGTCAGGGTCGGCCGCAACGGCTGGCACGGAGCAGGCCAGCGCGAGTCGCTGCGACGGGCAGAGCCCGACAACAGCAGCCGCAACAGCTGTGCTGGGCGGCGAAGAGAGAAAAACGGGACGAACCGAAAACCGCCAGGCGCAGAAGGAGCGCCAGTCGGTCGGAATCGACCACACGCTGTACAACGGCAAGGACCAACGGGCGCCGTCTCCTCTAAAAGGAGGGCGGCCGCCGTGCAACCAAGCCAAAACGAACGCACGTGCTGCGCACCTTCTCCCACAACTGGGGTGCCTGACACACGTGCACGAGACGCTCGACACGCAACAGCATAACCTTTGTGGCGACAGGATAACGCATAAAACCAGCCCCTGGTGTAAAGAACGCCAGGACGGCGGCCAAACTGCTGTCTGAAGTGGGGTACGCCCCAGCACAATCACAACGCCGCAGACAAAGTATAGAAGAAACAGGGCGACGCCAGGACGACCGCCAGGCAAACCCCAGGTGTACCTAACCCGAGTGGGCGGACGCCTGGACGGCCCCTGGACAGCCCCCCAGTGTGGGCCCGCCTCGCCACCAGAGCCAGTGCACCCATGGTGAGCCCTCCAGATGCGGCCTGAGCCAACTGGGCGGAGCGATCAAAGGACCCACCGTCACCCGCTCCAACGCAAGGTGCAAAGGCTCCAAGTGGCCGAGACAAAACCTCCTGTGGGACAAGGCAGCGGTCGGGACTGTGCAGCACCCGTGCCAGGCCCAGAAGAGTTGACAAATCTCGAGATGCGCACCTTCCCCCGCAGCCGGGGTGCCTGACACGCGTGCAAGCGGGCGACCCGTGATGCACAAGCGGCCAGGGCGACAGAACATTACCCCTGGTGCAAAGGACCTCCTCCGCCCCCCGACGACGAAGACCTGGCGACCAACTCCTCCTCCTCGGAAGCTCCGAGCAGCAGACGAGCCGTCTCGTCCTCCGTCTCGAGGCTGTCAGGGTGTAAATGTCCCTCAACAGGCAGAGTGGACTGCACAGGCTGTCTGACTGAAGAATGCCCCGCTCCAGGCAACGGGGACTGGACAGGAAGCCTGGAAAAAAAAACGCTGGTACTAGCGAAATTCGCGTTACTGCGCGACGTCCTGACCGCCGTAGATTTCGATAAACTGGGTGCAGCGCAATGTGGGGACGAGAAAAAGGCGCCAGTCGCAGCTCCAGCTGCAGACGCTGGTGCCTGCAAGCCGCTGGTGGCCGATCGGCCACTGCAGCTCGCCTGCGAAACTGGCTCGTAAATTGCCTGCGCGGGCCGCACCGCGGTGTTGCGGTAACGTGCTAGCTCGGCTGCTACTCTAAGCAGCAACTGGCCTGGGCTCTCGGCCTGTTCCTGAGAGGAGGGGGGTTCGGGAGGAGGCTCAACGAGAGGGGAGGCGTCCAGAGTGCCTTCGGCCGTCAGGTCCACATACTGCAGGGTGATGTCATCCTCCTTGGGATGGAGACCCTTGACAATACGATTCCAACAGTGCCTGCGCCCACGCATGGAATGATCATTCAAATTAACAAGCTCCGCGGGACAGCGCTCTCGCAGTCCTCGCACGCTGCCACCCGTCGAATACAGCTTGCAACGAGTGCACACGGCAACAAAGGAGCCATCCGAGCAATCGTACGCAGCAATGGTGTGCCCTAGGTGCGACAAAGCTTCCGCCTTGAGGCCTCGCAAGCCGTCGGCACCTGGGCACTTGGAGGCTGGAAGCTGAGCGAGCCGCGAGCCTCCCAGGCAAACAGGACACTGCCAAGACTGCCTGAGCTGGACCCAGTTGTGGGCTAGGCCTTCCTGGCGGCCAGAAAAGGCCAGTTCAGGGGCCAGCCATTCGGCATCCTGAAGGTCCAGACGAGGCCACAAGGGCAATAAACGCGCGGCGAATTTCGCTACCAGGCGCGCAATGGAAACCTGTCTCCAGATCGCGTCCGCTTCTGCTGGGCTCGCTAGGGGGTGCTGCTCCCTCCCGAGGTTGGTCAGACGGTCCGCGTGGTGGTTCCCAAGCCTCAAAAAATACTCGCGAGCAGGTAGTGATTCATCAAGCTCCTGGTGAGCGCACACCTTGATGACTGCCTGCACACTTGAAAGATCTCCCATACGCGCCTGGAGCATGAAACCAGCGTGCACTCGCTTGTGCGACAAGGCTTGCTGCCTGGCAAGTTGCGAGTGACATACTACAGATTGGCAATCCGAATAAATATTAGTTGGCCCAGCCAGCATGTGTGCGACAGCAGCGAAGATGCCATACTCTCCTCCTTGGGGCGTTTGGGGCCACGGCGCCCAAAGCGGAGCAAACAAACCAGCCCCGAGGGAACCATCCTGGTTTAGGACCTGGGCCCCAAAGCCCGTCCTGGAAAGTTCCCGAATGGGGTGACGGGCACATGAGCCGTCAATAAACAATTCACCCTGAAGCTTGAAATTTTCACCCTCAACCAAAGGCCCCCCAAGAGCGGGAATGAAAACCACACCTCCATCAGAACAAGGTGGAGGCAGTGTATCCCCAGGATGCTGGAAGAGCCCTCTGGTGAAAAGCAAGAGATCTTCAGTAGAGTCCGCGTGCTTCGCCTCGTCGATAAAAGCTACACCTTTGTTGCCCAAAACTTCCCTGCGCTGCTCGTCACAGTGCTGGCACAACCATAGCCGATGCAAAAGCGTGTCTGGCCCAACTCCGCACATCTGGCAAACGGTGCTGCCCACCTGGTAGCCTAAACTTAAAGCTCGCTCTCGAGGAGGGGGGGCGTGATCGGATGGGAAGCGGCAGGGCTGCCTGTCATGCACCCTGGCAGGCCGGGTTCAAGGGTCGAATCGCCCCCCTGCGTTTTAAAGGATTGTGTTTTGTGGGAGGCGGAGCGCATCGTTTGCTTGCTATTAGCATCGGCGTGGTATACCCGCTATGTTTTTCTTCGGCGCTGCCTCCCACTCCTCTTTCTCTCTCTCTCTCTCTCTGTCTTTCCGCCGCCGTCCGCCTAAACTTCAGCCTAAGCAGAGCCTAAGCCTCAGCCTAACCCAGCTTAAGCTCAAGCCGATGTTTAGCCGAAGTCCAGCCTAAGCCTCAGATTCAGCCTCTGTCTAGAAGAGGCTCTGCTTCTTCGGCCTGGCCTAAGCCTGGCCTCAGCCAGAGCTTCAGCCTCGGCCTAGCCTAAGCTTTAGCCTAAGCGTTGCCACAGCCTGGCCCAAACCCAAGCCTAAGCCTTGACTCCAGCCCCCGCCTGGCCTAAGCCTCAGCCTAAGCCAGGCAAGCCTAAGCTTCAGTTTAGACTAAGCACAGCCTAAGCCTGACCCAAACCTCAGCCTAAGCGTCAGCCTCAGTCCAGCCTACACCTCAGCCTCAGCCTAGCTTCAGCCTCAGCCTCAGCCTCAGCCTCAGCCTCAGCCTAAGACAAGCCCCAGCCTCAGCCTGAGCCTCGGCCTGAGCCTAACCTCAGCCAGAGCCTAGCCTGAGCCTCATACGTTCACTTGCGATTACAATACTAGGGGATTACTACTACCACATTACTACATGAGTTCTATTATCACAGCCGCCGCCACCACCTCCTCCGCCTCCGCCTCTCCTCCTCCTCCTCCTCCGCCCTCCGCCCTCCTCGCTCCTGCCCCCTCCGCCTCCCTCTCCGCCCCCTCCGCCTCGCGGCAGGCGGCGCCAGCGGGCAAAAGAGGGCCCCGCCTCGGCCGCCACCGAGAAGGAGCGGAGCCCGGTGCCGGCGCGCTGCTGCAGGGAGGCGACGCCGCTGCAGACGGCGATGCCTCGCGCGGCCCGCGCGGGGGGTCTCCGCGGCGGCGGCGGCCGCGGGCCGCCGCTCGGCCGGCCGGCCGCTCGGTCGTGGGCCGTCGGTCGCGGGCCGTCGGTCGTGGTGGACCCAAAATCGGCGGTGGACAAACCTCCCTTTAGTAGACCTCCCCTTAGAGAAAACGACCTGGGACCGAAACCGACGGACCTGGAACCGCAAAAATGATGGCCGCGACGCCCTCTCGCGAACCGAAAACGGCCGATTCCTTAATCGACGTGTCAGGGTAGGAGGTCTGTCCATCCCCGACAAAAGAGGGTCCAGCTGCAAGGGGGTGGTGCAATAGGTTCGGGGCAAATTGATTGCAAATGTACTCCGCCTGAGACTTGTCTTGCATGGTATTGCAGCTCATGCACTGCACGCGGAAACCCAGCGATACATGTTGGCACCGGAAAGTACTGCAAGCCCCAAATCTGTTGCAACCCCACAGATCTATTGCACCAAATCTTTTGCACCACCCCCTTGTCGCTTGACCCCCTTTTGGGTCAACCAGAGTGGCTGCAATTTTTTCACACCAGGCGTTGTCGCCCCGCATCGGGCCCCCGACCATCACTGACTACCTACCAGACCACCCCAACCCAACCCGAAGACTCGAATTTGACCCGAATTTCGGGTTGGGGGGGTACGGATACCATGTGTTTTTTCAGCGTTCCCCGACCCCCCCCCCACTGGAAATCAAGGATAAATTGGGGCCTTCGGGCTGGGTTGGGGTGGTTTGGTGGGTGGTGAATCACAGACCTATACGGCTGGACACGTTGCCGCAAGGAACGGGGGCGTCGGGCCCCAGCCGTGATGTTGCGCGAGGCTTCCATAATACGCTTCACAAAAGTCGGCTCTCGGGCTCCGCCGTCGCCGTCGCGGTCCAGAAGTCATCACCGGCGGCATCGCCACTGCACTCGCCAGCAGCGTCGTCGTCACCGCCTCCCTCCCAAATCCGTGTTTCGGTGCAGATCGTCTGCGCTCTTCGTTTCCGTCGTCGTCGCCATCGTCGTCGACGTCGTCGTTGGTGCGGGTTGCTCTACTCGGGACGTATTCCCCTTGTGCAGTTACCACCGTCCACCGTCCACTCGGGTCGGGCAAAAGGGGGGGATAGCAAAGGGGGGGTTTGAGAATCAGCTCACGGAGCTGATTTTCCCGGCGCCTCCCGGCGCCGGAGGCGGCCATGTATCGAGGAATGGGCCCCTCGGTGGGGCCGAAACCAGCTGCATGCAGCAAATTTCGTAACCCCCCCTTTCCCAGTCCCCCCCCCTTTCGCCCGGCCCGGTCCACCTGTCCGTCCATCGTCGTCGTCCGTCGTCGTCCGCCACGGGCGGCGCTGCTCGGCCAGCGATCCGCGGGGACAGTGCCTCCCCCCTGAAAAAGATCAGGCCAGCGGAAAGGAAGAGGAGGAGGGGGAGGAGGAAGAGGAGGAGGAGGAGGAGGAGGAGGAGGAGGAAGAGGAGGAGGGGATGAGGAAAGAAGAACTGGGAAGAGGAGGAGAATTTATTGACCCATGGGGACTTCGGGGGGCCCCCTTGGGGTGGGGGGTCCTCGTCTGGACGGCTGGATTCGTCTCGAGATCCTGGCCAGCACGAGCTCCCGGAAAGGACTGAGTGACGACATTGTGGGGGGGAGGGCAAAAGAGGAGGAGGTGGAAGAAATTCCAGGCTCACGAAAACCACAAGACAGTTCTGGCCCGTCTCAGGCTCCCGGGGACGCAGAGTCTGAGACCGATCCAGCCCGTCAGACCATGTTCAAAGCAGCCGGACCGCGCAACCTCCGGAGCAAGAGCCGAACCGAAGTCATGCTGACGCGATGGAGCACACATGCTGGTTTGGGTTGGGTACCGCGCAACGACGTATTCCATTGGAGGAGGAGGAGGAGGAGGGAGGAGGAGGAGGAGGAGGAGGAGGAGGAGGAGGAGGAGGAGGAGGAGGAGGAGGAGGAGGAACATCGCGCGCGCTTCGCCCGCGCCTGGGCTCGCCCCACGCTTCTCCCCCTGACGTTCCTGCACGCCCCGTCGTCTCTCAACCCCCCTTCAGAATACCCCTCCCCTCCCCTTTGCTCCCACCCCCCCCCCTCCTGACCTCCTTTCCCCCTCCCCTTCCCCCTTTTTCCCTCCCCCTCCTCCTCCTCCAAAATCGGGGACACGAACTGGATCCTGCATCGCGATCTTTCTTCCACAGACCGACCGACCCCCGTCCCCCCACGGCGAATATCGGTTTACAAACAACCCCTGAATGCCGGAATGTTCCACATCCACCAGCATTGTGGTTCAAGCAGCGCGTCCTGCCATGCCTTTGAGAAGCTGCTTCAGCATCTCGGTTGCGCACCTAGTCACACTCCTGCATGGGCCTGACTTTCGCCTCGAAGTCCTCATCCAGCAGGCGCCGCAAGCCAGCCGCAAAGAAACCCTTGGCCTCCGCGGCGAATTGCTGCAGGACCTGCCAGTGGCGACTGATGCGCTGCAGGTAAGCGTGGAGCTCGCAGAGCTGCTGGGCTAGTCTTCGCAAGGCTCGGCCATCGTGTGGACCTGTCGTCGGCGCCTGGCTGAGCGCGGCGACGTCTCTGGCGACCACTGCTCTGACGCACGTCAGGCGTTGGGCCCATCGTGCAGCCACTGCCCAAGCTGAAGCCTTCTGCCCGCGTCGGGCCCGCATCCTTGCCGGCCGCCAAGCGACTTGCTCCAGGGCCAGCTCGGGCCTACACGCCTGCCCGCATGCGGTTCCCCCACCCAGGGCAGCGCTTCGTGGCCCCGTCGGGAGCTCCACCGAAGGCCCCAGTGGGGGTGCCCGCATGCGATTCCCCCATCCAGGGCAGCGCTTCGTGGCCCCATAAAAAGCTCCACCGTAGGCCCCAGGGGGGGTGCCCGCATGCGGTTCCCCCACCCAGGGCAGCGCTTTGTAGCCCCATAGGGAGCTCCACCAAAGGCCCCAGTGGGGGGGCCCGCATGCGATTCCCCCACCTAGGGCAGCGCTTCGTGGCCCCATAGAGAACTCCACCGTAGTCCCCAGTGGGGGTGCCCGCATTCGGTTCCCCCACCCAGGGCAGCGTTTCGTAGCCTTATAAGGAGCTCCACCGAAGGCCCCAGTGGGGGTGCCCGCATGCGATTCCCCCACCCAGGGCCGCGTTTCGTAGCCCCATAGGGAGCTCCACCCGAAGGCCCCAGTGGGGGCGTTCGCATGCGTCTCCCCTACCCAGGAGGTAGCGCCACCGAAGACGATACCCATATTTGCGGCATTCACAACTGCATATGGTTGGGCCCTTCGCCAGGCTAATTTTTTGAAGACGCAACCCCAACTCAAGAGGTTTCGCGAGACGTCTTCAAGGCCCACC